AAAAAAATAGTGGCTGGGAGTGAAAGCTCAAAGTGCTCAACATGTGATATAAATGTGAGATATCCAGGCTCAAACTCTGGCACCACCAAAAGTGACCCTCAAGCACAGAGTCTGAGAATATCCATATATATTCCCAAACTTCCCAAAGTAAATTAAAAAAGATAAATAAAATAATACAAAATTTCTATTAGTGTTTTCTACACGGTTAATATAGACCTTTGAAATACACTCTTAATGGAATACTAAGACTGAAGACAGTTACAATGGAAGTTAAATTGGAGGTTAAATAAGAAAGATGTATGTATTGAAAAAAAAGGATTTAATACCTGCATAGAGTTTAACATTGAAGCTAATAAATAGTCATATATAGTAACTAACAGAAACAAAAAAATCACTTGCTTATTGAAATACGCACCTCAGACTTGCTACATCATACCTATGCTCTATAGGTCTGTTGTAGCAAGTGAAATTTGGGATACTGAAAGGATTATAGAAAAGTTGGAAAGAGAAGGGGTAAAAGTCACGTTAAGATTGCTGTTAGAATATGGAGAATATATGAATGGATAAGAAACAAAATTTCATTCAATACAATAGAAGGGCTAGTGTATGCTTCCATAATCTAAAAGCTTTGTATCTGAAAAAAGAGTAGGCTTCAGAAAATGTCTTTGATAATCAAGTCACTACGTAATCTCTCACACAATGATATGAACTCTTTGGGGAAGTCACATTAATTGCAAACAAGAGCAGGAAAGGCTTGATTTTATTGTTTATAAAAGATTTCATTTCGGGAGTTAAAGAAAAAATACTGGAAAGAGAATAAAATAAAAATTTTATAAAATTTGCTTAGGGTATAATCCCTAAATATTGACAATCAAAAATAAACTTTTGAAAGTAGTTATTTTAATAATTATTTAGAGCTGATCAAAGATATATCCGCTAGGGTAAACAAAAAAGATAAAGGTAAAGGTAAAGGTCCTCCCGTTGATCATCCATTTGCTAGAGCGGGCCCAGTAACGTCTCCATTGGAGACTTTGTTGTTACTGTGTTTGGCATATCGAATACATCACGGGTGGCTTGCCAATGTGACTATTAAAGAATTGTATATTTGTAACTGGAGGGTGGTATGGTAACAGCATTTCATGTATTTTCAGTTATCTTATTTTGGAAGCAAAATGAATTTGCTTATGAAAGTTATTGAGCAATCCAAAAAACCAATTTCAGTATAAGGATGAATATCAAAGATACACAGACTTTTAAAAATCTGTTGTAGAGATGTAAATGAAAGATCAATTTATCATTTATATTACTTACATCAGTTCTCAGGTTAATAGGCCAAATCAGTTCTACTTTTTAATTTATGTTTTGTAGCATTATTTACCTATGTAAGACACTTGTTTTTCTGTTGTTATTTATTCATATATCCCTATTTCAAACCTGCTTCATGTTTTGTCACTTTATTTACCCTTTATGTGACTTTATAGCTATTATAGACATATATAGAAATTAGTTTAATAAGTCAAATATTTTAACAAATCAGATTTCTATTTCATGTAAAGTATTAAAAGCTTGATTCTTAAACCAAAATACTGACATTTAAAAATTATTTTAAGTATTTTTATATACAAAACTGTTAATGGTAGAGTGTCGTACATCAAACTTGTTAGTTCCACACCCCCACCAGGGGCAAACAGACTGACGTTTTTTATTTATAAAGTAGTAAATTATTTTAATTTTAATATTCCTTATGTTTTTAATATAGGTAGTAAGTACTTAGTATAACTATAAATTCAATATAAACTTAACTAACTGTAGCTAAATGGTAAATTATTACTCTAGATTTTTTGTTTAAATAAATCTTAAATAAATATAGTACAGGCTGGAGCTATAGCACAGTGGTAGGGCGTTTGCCTTGCACGCAGCCAACATGGCCGACCCGAGTTCGATTCCTCCGCCCCTCTCGGAGAGCCCGGCAAGCTACCGAGAGTATCTCGCCCGCACAGCAGAGCCTGGCAAGCTCCCCGTGATGTATTCGATATGCCAGACACAGTAATAACAAAGTCTCCAATGGAGACGTTACTGGGCCTGCTCGAGCAAATATAGTACAGGAAAATTATGATATGTAATCTAAATTTTAAATAATCAAAGTATTCAGATGCTTAATAGCCTTAGAGCCTTGTAGATCTATCCATATGTCCTTATGTTTAATCCCCATATTCTGCAAAATTTTGTTTGTTTGTTTTTTGTATTTTTGGGTCACACCTAGCGATGCTCAGGGGTTACTCCTGGCTCTGCACTCAGGAATCTCTTCTGGCAGTGATAGCATGACCATATGGGATGCTGGGAATTGAACCTGGGTCGGCCACATGCAAGGCAAAAGCCCTACCCACTCTGCTAATGCTCGAGCCCCACTGCAATTTTTTAAAAAAATTTTATTAATGAGACACCATGAGGACAGTTGTAGACAGTTGTAGACTTACAAATTTTTGTGTTTAGGTTTCAGTTATACAATGATCCCTCCACCAGTGCCCATTGTCCACCACCACTGAGTCCAGTATCCCTCCCACCCCCCATTCCCCCCATCCCACCCTGCCCCTGTGGCAGGGCATTCCCTTTTGTTTCTCTCTCTCCTTTTGGGTGCTGTGGTTTGCAAAAGAGACATTGAGTGGCAACCATGTTCCATCTATAGTCTACTTTCAGCATGCATCTCCATCCTGGAAGAATCCTCCCAACACCCTTTATTTGGTGCTTCCTTCTCTATCTGAGCTGCCTTTTCTCCTGGCGTGTGCGGCTGGCTTCCAAGCTATGAAGTAATCCTCCTGTTACTTATCTCAGCTATTATTGAGTATTAGTCTCCTATTTTGTTACTTATGTTCTTCAGATGAATGCAATCTTTCTGTCTGTCCCTCTCTTTCTGACTCATTTCACTTAGCATGATACTTTCCATGTACCACTTGGATATAACTTTCATGACAGCTACATAGTAATCCATTGTGTAGATGTACCAAAGTTTCTTTAACCAGTCGCCTGTTCTCAGGCACTCAGATTTTTTCTAGATTCTGGCTATTGTAAACAGTACTTCAATGTACAAACAAGTGCAGATGTTACTTTGACTATACTTTTTTGCCTCTCTGGGATATATTCCCAGGAGTGATATTGCTAGGTCAGATGGAATCTCAATTTCTAATTTTTTGAGAATCATCCATACAGTTTTCCAAAAGGACTGACCCAGTCGGCATTCCCACCAGCAGTGAAGGAGGGTCCCTTTCTCTCCACATCCGTGCCAGCACCGGTTGCTTTTGTTCATTTGGATGTGGGCCAGTCTTTGGTGTGAGATGGTATCTCATTGTTGTTTTGATCTGCATCTCCCTAATGATTAATAATGTAGAGCATTTTCTCATGTGCAAAATATTTTTATTGTAGCACTGTAGGACTGTCATCTCCTTGTTCAGCAATTTGCTCGATAGGCACCAGTAACATCTCCATTGTGAGACTTGTTGTTACTGTTTTTGGCATATCGAATACGCCACGGAGGAATCAAACCCTGGTCAGCGGCGTTCAAGGCAAACGCCCTACCTGCTGTGCTATCACTCCAGCTCAAAACTATTTTTATTAATTTAGAAAATTCTAAATAATTCGGTCAAAATACAGAAAGAATTTTTTTTTCTGCTGCCTTTATTATAGAGTCCTTTCATTGAGAAAATGGCTGGCTGATTTGAATAAGCATACTATGTAAAATTTTGGTTGCTTATTTAATAGAACCGAAAACCTTTTACATAAATTCACTCCTCATTACTCACAATAATGCCAAGTGCTATAGTCCAGGCAGATATTTATTATTTTTATATATGAAAAGACATTAGGGCTATTTTTCAGTGGAGCAGGGGAATAAAATTTTTCTGAATTTTAGTTCCTTGTAGAGCTCCATGTAATGAGCTCTTCTAAGGCATTGTGAGTTGCAATTTAAAAACCCTGTTTAATCAGCCATAGTGAGCGATGTGCCATTCCCTGTGGTACAAATCTGAGAGGAATACAGGTTCCTCCTCTTCCATCTCTTGCATCTGGGGGAATTGCTTTGTGGTCAGGTCTGCTAGGAGAGGCCACAGAGAGTCAAGGCTGCAAAGCTGGTCTCCGCTTGTCAGCGCGGAGGAAACTGCAGAATACAAATCATCAGCTTTGTTTTATGAATGTCTTTATTTACAATGCTGGAGTGGAATATTTTAAAAAGGACTATAACATTTGCATTGAATCTGTCACTCAAGCTCCAGTGTTGATTCCTGTCCTATAAATGATCTTGCTGTTCTATTTTTTCCACCTTTCTGCAAGGTTACTTTCAATGTCAGAGGATGCAAACCTCAATTCTACATGGCATGGGGCTTGGTGTGTATATTAGAAGGAAAGAATTTTGCTTAATAAAATGATATGATAATATTCATTGAAACAGCAAAATTGACTGCATGGGGAAAAATATATCTTCTCTGAGAGTTTTGACTGAATTTTTTTTATTATACAACTTGCTGCTACCCTTTTGTTTTTCTTTGTCAAATAACATTTCCCAGTTCACATTAAATTGTCTGTCAAATGGAGTGATGTCTTTGTGGAAAACACTCAAATACAAAGAAAATGGATGACCCTCAAGAATGGGTGGAAATCCCCCAAATTTGACAAAGATCCTTTTCTGTTTGGAAATTGTAAAGCTCAAGATGACTAGTAAGTGACAGGAGGTGCTGTGTTTAGTTTCACAGAAGTTAACCTGTTTCAACAAGATGGTAGTGCTAAGGAAAATAATACATGAATTTATATTTGTATCGGGCTCGTTGTGTATAGGAAAAGTGCATCTAAGGGTTGCTCCTAAAGAAATGTCTGTCCTCACTCTGCTTCCTTACTAATTTCTGCTTTCCAAATCCTACCCTCTAGGACAAGAAAATGGTGTTAAAAGAATAAATTATGTCTTAATAGCCCATTTCCTGCCCTATAATGATTATGCATCTTTTCTCTTGTAGCTCACAGCAGCTGGAGGACATCTGACATTTACTACATCATATGACTTCGAAGAAGAGGAAGAAGACAGAGAACACAGACTCCAGTTTATAATTATCCTAGAGGTAGATTATAAAGAGCATTGTTTAAGTTCAGCTGCCTTATGTTCTTGTGCTATGGGAAGTTATTCCTTAGTTGGTTTGACAATTTTCATAATACATCTTAGAAAAATTTCTTGAAAATTTCATTTTTATCATTCCTATGCTGGACTCTGCATCAGGCTGTATTCACTCAGGGTGCCTCAGAGGGAGCAAGCAAGAGCCCTCCCCGCCCCAAGGGACCACCTGACCTCGACAGCCGACCTGCACAATCCAACTGCCGCAATGCTCCAGGCCGCTTTCTGGACCACACGACATGTCATAAGACACTTCCTACCCATTTTCCATAATTACCATACTATGTTTGATGGAGTTCAGACTGCAGGCAACAAATTTTATATATATATATATATATATATATATATATATATATATATATATATGCCTCTTGGAGAGCCCGGCAAGCTACCAAGAGTATCTTGCCTGCAAGGGCAGAGTCTGGCAAGTTCCCTGTGGCATATTCGATATGCAGAAACCAGTAACTATAACAGGTCTCATTCCCCTGATTCCCCTGACCCTGAAAGAGCCTCCAGTCATTGGGAAAGTCGAGTAAGGAGAGGCTGCTAAAATCTCAGGACTGGAATGAATAGAGACATTACTGGTGCCCACTTGAGTAAATCAATGATCAACAGAATGACAGTGATACAGTGATATGATGATGCTTCACTCTAAAGCATATCTAGAAGACTGAGTTCCTGGGTTCCTGTGATAATGAGCATCTTTTAAAAAAAACTGGATATTTATATCAAAAACTTAATGGCCATGTTGTAAGAATATATTCTGATAAAAGTATTTACACAATGCTTATTTACATAGCTCTGCTTTTATCTCCCCTTGCTTCCAAGTAGATTTATTGCCTATTTCCTTTTAGATATAAAACATAAGTGTGTTAAAAAAGAAAATTATTTACCCAGGTGACTTCTAAATCTTAATTGAAGAAAGACAGATGTAGAGAGGAACTGCTTTAATGGTTTGGATGGCCAAAATCAACTCCAAAATGCTAGAAGTATGAAGTCATTCATGGGCCCTCTGATGCTGTTTCCCAGGCCCTTCCTTTTGTAATGCATAGTCTTCACCAAACTCATATTCACAGGAAGTATCTTTATTCTAAGTAAACTGATGTTTACTTAGCAACAAGTTCTGCTGTTCTTCACCATGCATAATAATCCACAATTTTTCCCTAAAATAAATATTTCCAATGTTATGTTAGTTGTCCTGCATATATGTGTCTTATGTGTTTATATATGTATGTGTGCATGTTTGAAGATAGAAGTGTGTCTTGAAATGTATTTGGGACAAAGGGGGCTCCATGAACAGAAAACATTATACTTTATATATTATAAATATGATTAAATAAGAAAGACCCCCTAAATATTAAGAGTGAACAAGTATACTCTATTTTTATTGCATTACCTCATGTTTTTAATTTTGAATTATACACGATTTGCTTATTTCTGTCATTTTCTCATATATAAAAATCCTTTAAAATAATAACGCATTATTCTAAATGTTCTACTCTTGTTTTTTATAACCCACATCTACCATAAAATAACATGTTTGAAGTATATAATTTTATACACTTGTGTGAAATTAAGGTATTTTTGTTGCACATAAGCATGAATTTTCAAATATATAATATTTTAGATAATTGGAAGCTAAATCATACATAACCATGAAACTTATTTTGTAATGCCTCTGGTTAAAGTTAATATTTCAATTGACTTCTCTGCTTTTCATATATGCCAGAAATATGCTGAGTGACAGGGAAAACAAACCTTAAATTAAAAGCCTGCTGAGGATAATTTAGGATAAAGGAGAAAATGCAAATATAGTTATTTCACCCTTGTATACTCTCTTTCTATAGTTTTATTCTTATCTTTTCTCCCTTTAGGGAAATGGCTTGAGAATCAGCACAATCCAAGATGAGGTATACCTGAAACCATTTGAAGAACTTACTAATGTGTTTCCATTTAAAGAAGAACTATTTACTCTTCATGGTACAAATTCCCCAGTCAGTAGAAAAGAGTTTATGACTGTGCTTGCAAATTTAAAGAGGCTCCTCATACAAATCACATACAGCCTTGGGATGGATGCCATCTTCAGGTAAGATCAAGAACTGCATCTTCCATGTTTACACGGCTACCTTCGTCCCAAGCAGGCATGTGCTACCAGAGTCATAAGGCAGATTCTGTAGGTTTTGTTCTCTTCAAGAAGATAAGATAATTGAGTACTATTGTTTCCAAAAAAGATTCCTATGAAAAAGTTTCTAATAGAACTTTAAGACACGAAATACCTAAAGTGAATTTGTCATAGTCCTTTTGATTCCTTGATCCATTGATTCATTTGAATGCCTAACAACACAAATCGGACGACTACACTTGAATAGATGTGGCTCACTGCCAGGAGTTTCTATCTTTATTGTCTGCTCACCAACATCCAATTATGATGAAGGAGAAATTGAGAAGTTCTACATGGGCTGGAGCGATAGCACAGCGTAGGGCATTTGCCTTGCACGCAGCCAACATGGCCAACCCGAGTTCGATTCCTCCGCCCCTCTTGGAGAGCCCGGCAAGCTACCAAGAGTATCTCGCCAGCACGGCAGAGTCTGGCAAGCTCCCTGTGGCGTATTTGATACGCCAAACACAGTAACAACAAAGTCTCCAATGGAGACGTTACTGGGCCCGCTCGAGCAAATCGACGAACAACGGGAGGGCCTTTACCTTTACATGGAGCTGGAGAAGTTCTATAAAGAAAACCCCACTTTCTACAAGATCATTGTCAGTGATTTTAATGCCAACACTGGACCGAGAAGATTAGCTGAAGAACTCCACATCAGAACTCATGGCCTAGAATGGAGTGAACAGGGTGAGAGACTGTCTGAGTTCATCATTTCGACCAAGAGTTACCACCCATGGTAACTCACAGTTCCAGAAGGCCAATTCTAAACGTTGGGTATGGAAGTCTCCTGGAAGACAGTTCCACAATGAAATTGACCACATCATATTCAGTCAGTGGTTTTGACTGACCAATGTTTCTGTTGTCCCAAAATTCCAAACGGGATCGGACCACCATCTCCTTCATGCAAAATTCTATTTCACGGAGCAGGGAAAAAGAGCTGCAAAGTTTAAGAAGAGAACTCGCAGAATGACCATCAAATGGGAGCTCTTTGGCACTATTGTGGCAACACGGAAAGATGCGCCTCCATGATTGTGAGAGGAATGCCGAGAGAGAGATATGCACAAAAAGATGCCTGTCTTTGAAAACTCTCAACCTCATTTGCCAAGGTGGCTTGGCTCAAGCCTCAGGCAACCACAGGCGAATGTCTGAGCTCACAAAGCAGTGCAGAGAAACGATCAATGAAGACCTCAAAGAAAGAGAGCAGCAGTGCTGGCAGATGTGGCAGAAGCCGAGAAAATCATTCGCAATGCCCGCCTGTCATTCGCCAACCACAAGACCAAGATGACTGTCCTCTGACGTCCTGATGAATCTATCACATCTTCCAGAAGGGCAATGGAGAAGATTATTCATGACGTCTACTCAGATCTCTTCGATAGCTATGTCCACCTGCCCACATACCAAACTGTGCAGGATGGATATGTCATTCTCAATGTTCTCCTTCCGAAATCCAATACGCCATTTCATTGTAAAGAAGTGAACAGCACCCAGCCCAGACAAGGTCAGACCCAAACACCTGAAGAACCTGCCATCAGTACTCATCAATACACTGACTCGGCTCTTCACATGCTACCTATCTGAATACAAGGTTCCATCCCAATGGAAAACCAGACGGAGAAAAACAAGAAGGGAGACATTCACGGTGCTGGCAACTATCACCCTATCTACATTTTGTCTGTCATCTACAAGCTCTTCACTTGAGTCATCCTGAATAGGGTTGGCAGAACACTAGATGCAGAAAAACCATGCAAGCAAGCTTTGTTCTGAAAAGGATTCAGCATGATCGACCGTATCCACATGATAACCAAGCTCATTGAGGTTTCTTGGGAGTTCAAGATGCCGCTCTGTCTAATGTTCATTGATTTAAAGAAGGCCTTTGATTCTCCTGAGACAGAAGCAGTCATTGAATTCCTTGCCAAACAGGGAGTTCAAGCTCAATACGTCAGGATCCTCCATGAGCTGTATTACGGATTCACTACAAGGATCTCACCATTCTACAAAGAAGTGATCATCCATGTCAAGAGAGGGCTTCGGCAGGATGATACCATTTCACCGAAACTCTTCAGTGCCACCCTCGAGAATGTCATGCGACAACTGGAATGGGAAGGAATGGAAGTGAAGACAGACAGTCTATGAAAACAGGATGAGAATGCTTTTTGGGTCTCCCAAAGAGGAATCGAAAGAGCTATGCTTGGAGTATCATGCTTCACTAAAATAAGAGAAAGAATCCAGAGTTCCAACCTCCACTGATGATCAAGAATCAGAGACACTGTCTCATTTGCAAAGGCATCAAAAATCAGATGGGCAGGACACATAATGAGATTTGGAGATGACTGATGGACTAGAGCCATTACCGACTGGATTCCATGGCATGTCAAAAGATGATGTGGCCGTCCACCTACGAGATGGTCAGACTTCTTTGTCAATACCCTGAACAATTGTTCCTAAAATAAGCAGATGCCATTGGGCTACACTAGCACGTGACAGGTGCAAATGGAGACGCTACTGGTACCTGCTTGAACAAATCAATGAATAATGAGATGTCAAGTGGTCAAGTGTTCAAGTTATTTTTTTTCACAGTTGCATCACATATACAGTAAAAATTATCTCTATATTGGGAATGCTTTATTGGGTAACAAACTTTCTTTGTGATGACCTGGGAAGTGAAAAACTAAAACTGTAGAAGCCTAGAATATTCATATTATAAATATAAATTATATTTTCTTCCTGAATTAGTTACTGACTTAATAATGTATACAGTCATGGGTCATTTTACAATACTTTTATCAACAGTGGGACATGAATACACAGTGGTCCTAATAGTCTACCCATACAACCTATGTGGATAATAAGCTTTTAGGTCTGCCAATGACAAAATTACCTAACAATGCATTCCCCAGGAAGCAGTCCATTAAGTGATGTTGTTATAAGATGGATGAAACCTTAATTTAAATAATAATAATATTTCTCTTTTTGAAACGGACTATAAAGCCATAGTGTAAGGGAGAGAAAATACAAGCCTTGGAGTCAAACTGACGAGGATTTCAATAAGCTCCATTGCTCATTATATGGGTGACCATTGGCATGTGATTGGTCCTTGTGGTAGCTTTATTTCTTCAAGTATAAAGTGAAGATATTAGAGCCTACCTTGCAGGGTCATTATGAAAATAATACATAATAATTATGTAAAGTGATCATTAACTAGAACACTTGCAAAGGTTAGTCCCCTTTTTGTTCTCCAATTTTTCTTTCTTAAAGAGAGAGCTCCCTGTCAGAGCTAAGTATGCCCTTGTGTAATTGCAAGCTGATCTTTGCATTTCGGTAACAGTGACATGTTTGTTTGGCAAAAGGGTAGTGGTACCCGAAGATACTCTTCCCTTCTCCTTTACTACTTTGAGAACCAGTGAAATATATTAACAACTTCCTTCAAAATTCAATTAATTTAGAAACTCACTTGTGATCTCAATTTGACAACATCCTGTAGCCACGTAGGTCATTTTCTTATGCTGACTTGACAAGAGGGCATTTTAAAATAAATGTTATTGGTGCTTCCCCACCCCCATTGTTTGCTTCTTCTGCCTAGTTTATCTTTCACTTGTAGTATTTCAACTAAATGGGAAATATCATTAACATCTCCCTTAGGAGTGAGCTGCATATCCATCAACAGAACCATTGCTAAAACAATGTTCTTTTTGCATAGGCAATTCTGCCAGAAGCTGGGTTAAAATGCCATGAAGATGGGAAGGAGCACTTAGGAATTAATTATGTTTTTCCTCATTTAGTAAATGGAGATTGTCGTTTTGTTGAAACAGTAGAGAGAAGAGTCTTCTGGCTTTCAGAATGAATGACAACCTGATTGACAAAAAGTGGCTGGAGGAAGTGTGTGTGTGTGGGGGGGGGGGGGGGGGCGGGGAGGAAGACTTATTTTTTGGTCAACATTACTTCTCAGACTAGTTAGTCTAAAGGCAATTCCTTCTGATTTATATGGGATCATTTCAGTGTCTATCCATCTTAACACTTGTCTGTTTCATTCTGAAGCTTTCCTACTCATTGACTGATTACATACTCACAGAGCAAGTTTATAGGCAACAAACCAAGTTAGTGTGAATAGACGGCTGTTTTCTGCAGCTAGCATCATCTAAAACTTAGTTCAAGAAGTAAAAGCTAAAGTCAGCCTTGAAATTACTAGTCACTTCAGATGTGGTGAAAGTCAGTGTGAATCCTGAGTTAGCAAGATTGTTATATTTCATTTATGTCTAATCTATGATCAGATTGAGTTAGATTTGTAAAACAACACTTAAATTGATTTCAACTTGTCTTACACAGTAGGCGCCCAACCTGGTATGCAGTTTGTGTGCAGCACAAGTAATTTGAAGCTATTGCCACGAAATTTCATGTTTAGATTTATTTTGGGAAGATTTACTTCTGTGATAGTTGTCTCAGCAAATGGACTAGGGTTCTTCCATTTAAGCAGTTAGGTGGGTCTAAATAGTGGAAAGAAAATGGACTGCAGGTCAGGGTTTTGACTTCTGGTCTTAACTCAGCTGGTTTATAATTGTAAACATAAATATAGCTTTGACCTCTCTGGATTTTAATCACCTCATCTGTAAAACAAAGAGGAAGACAATTGCTTTGTCAACTTCAAAAGGTCACAATAAGAATGAATTAGAAGCCTGCAAATGCACTTTGCTAATGACAAATCAGCACAAAAATGGGAGACATTTCTGTCTGACCTGCTTCATTCCAAGGAAGATTTTTCTTGATGCACCATAAGACTTGAAGAAAGTACATACCAACACTTCCAAAATTCTTATACTTTCTGTTTCAATTATTTCCAGATACCTTAGAGACATGTACACTGTATTAAATTTCTTTCTCGTGGTCCTCATTGGTAAAATAGAAACAAAACTTTTTTTTCTTTTTTATAC